ACTTTTTATACGCTATGAGCTAAAATCTTGAAATGTATATATTTAAGTCCAAAAGAAATATAGAGGAATTTGAGGAGGTTTATTTATTCTTCTCTAAAAGGATGAGTAAAGTTATACAAAAATGGCAGCAATTTTTATCAATTTGCAGAGCAAAGTTAATATCTAGAGATCTGTATTTTTATCTACACAATGAGAGTAAAGACAACTACTGAGACTGATAGGATGTAGAATAAAATTGGAATTTTAAGGATATAGTTTTGGAATTACTGGTATAGAAAATTTAGGAAATGCTACTAAGGCAAATAACAGGTAATATTTTGGCTCAGTTAAATCTAGAAATTGTATATTTGTACAAATTGTAAATTGTATAGATCCAGACTTTGATGTAATATGCTTAAGCAAAAATCACCCAATAATACAGGAAATGAATAGATAAAACCAATCCAAGCTGGAGGACATAGACAAAAGTACAGTTAAAAATAAAACTACTGCTATTATAGTCTTAGTTGTTGCAACTGCTAACGATATATATATTATATCCTGTCAATAATCATCACCTGCTAACATCACCAAATCATAGGCAGTGGTCCATATTTATTTTCTAATGAAAATCTTCAGCATGAAATACTACTGCCAAAAATTAAGCTGAAACTGATCAATCTCCTTTATTTAGTTACTACCTTATAAGAACAGAAGAGGAGGCATGATAAAGCCAATCACATCAACATGGATGTGACCAACAAAAATTCATAAAGAGGGAAAGGTCAAATTATGCTTATTTGCAGATGGTATGATTCTGTACTTAGAAGGCCCAAAAGATTCCACCACAAAACTATTGGAACTGATCACTTCAGTGTTGTGAGAAGGCATAAAATCAACAACAACAACAAAAAAAAACAGTAGCTTTTCTATATGCCAACAATGAAGGGGCTGGAAAAATGTCAGAAAAATAATTTAATTCACAGTAGCCATTAAAAATACTTAGGTGGGGGGAGGCTGGGAAGGGATGTGAAGGGTAAACCAAAGGAGGAGGCTGCAATGCTTGGTAAGAAATGTACGCATTATCCTGCCCATGTAATTGTAACCCCTCTGTACAGTATGTTCA